GCTTAAATGCAGCCCCTTGTTGATCGTCACGCATCTTCTAATACGAACATAGATGCTAGACTGAAACAAAATATAATGTGAGTGTCATATAATATTCACACAAACACACATCCAACCTACTATACGTTTTATACACATCTGTGTCTATTGCCTCAAGCCTTCAAACCCCTAGTGCATAATTTCCTCATCACCACCAGTAACAGAAACATCGCAAATCCCATCTACATGCATAGGAGCCAAAATGATCAATAAATTGATCGTGGGCCCTTAAGATATAGAAGAAGAAGGTATGCTAAGCTTTGTGTAAGCCGATAACGATGACAATAAAGAAAACAAAGAGCAATGAACACTTTCCAGAATATCTTTTCTGATAATGCAAAACTAAAAGTAAAAAAAAAAAAAGCAAAGGTTCATGTTATAACAGCGTAACTGAATTTTGCATTAAGAAGCGTGGGTGATGCATTTAAGCCGTGAATTGTCAGTGGTCTGGACGATCGCAATCATTCAAGGGTGATCAATTTTTTTAAATCCACGTATACTAGAAATCAGATCAATTGGAAAGTAATAGAAACTAATTAAGCTTTATAACGAGACTAATGTTTATCTCAAACCAATGTGAAGTCGTTAAGAACTCTTCTACAGGTTCATCATAAGTACCTTTCACAATCACATGATTATATAAAGAATAATCACATTATTGCATCCAGGTACAATTCATTCCGTTTTTGCATCCAGATAAAAACAATTTTGTTCATCTAATCAAACCATTTACTCAGTCAGGAGAGAATGGAGAAGTTTGGCTGCCCGTGTAGATTTATTATATTACGTCAACTTCATGGTGGTATGATGGCCAGGGTGATGTCAAGATTGTATGATGGCCAGGGTGATGTCATGATGGTATGATGGCCAGGGTGATGCCATGATGGTATGATGGCCAGGGTGATGTCATAATGGTATGAGGGTGAGGGTGAAGTCAAGATGGTATGATGGCCAGGGTGATGTCAAGATGGTATGATGGCCAGGGTGATGTCATGATGGTATGATGGCCAGGGTGATGGATTGTCTAGATGTTTCTGGGGATTTTGTTGTAACAAATGACGTAAAACAAGGCTGTGATCTGGCCCCATCATTGGTATTCTGTGCAATGCTGACCTATGCTTTTCTTGACAATAACGATGGCCATCCTATGTTACGTAACAGACGGTTGTCTATTTAATCTCAGGAGACTGT